CCCCTTCAGTGCCCACCCACCTCCTGCCCTACTGCCTCTCCTAGGCTCTGGGCAGGGAACCAGTGCCACACCTGAGCCCCCTTTACTGCCCCTCTGCATGTCCATGAGGAAAAGGAGGGGCTTGAGATGAAAATGGCTTCTGGACTCACCCAGGGTTCCAGCCCTGCCGTGGACAAACCGTGTGACCCTGGACTGGTCACCTCGATTACTCTGAGCCTCAGTTTCTGTATCTGTAAAATGGGAGTTAAATGATGCCTGCCTTAACAGGTGCGGGCGTGTCGCCGGTTGTGGGTACTGTTGTCAGGATGGTCCGTGGCGTGTGGTCCACTTGGTGCCTTCCTGGCAGGCCCTCAGTTTCCCTACCTGAGGTGGTCATGTCAGTCCCTGACTCAGGGACACACTGCAGAGCTAGGCTTCCCTTTCTGCTCAGTGTGGCAGCCTGTGGGCTTCGAGTCTCCAAGTCCTAGGCTGTACAGGCCACAGCTGACCAAAGGGGAAGTTTCAGGACCTCCCCAGCAGTGGGGTGTCTGTACCTAATGCTGCCCCAGGCCATACAGAGGCACTGCACATGACTCATGGAACCACACGTGGGGGATGGAGCCCACCTTCCAGAGGTCCTGCCCTCTCTGCTTCGGCCAAGGGGATTCCAGTGGTTCACAGGGTAGTGTAGGCAGCCTCCACCCCTCTACCCTCACTGGCACCCCTCCAGACTCAGGGCCAGCCAGCTGCCCACCCCCTAGCAGGGACGAAGGCAGTTTATCCAGAGCAGGATTCCAGTCCACTTGTATAAGCTGTTGACCTTGAGCCTCAGTTTCCCCCTCTGTGCCACAGGGAAAATGACAGCTATAACGACGGACAGCAGGCAGCTGGGACAACTCAGGGCAGGGGGCCTGGCCCATGGCTAGTGTTTCATAGATGTTAACGCCCCCACTCAGAGGCACCACCCGAGGGCCAGCAGTCCACCTTAGCTTCCTGGGCATGCAAGGCCTCCGCATTGCCTTCCAGCCTGTGAGGTGGGGCTGGGGTGGCTTACCTGGCCGCGCTGGGCCTGGCCGGGCGCTCCACCGCCGCCTGGGGCGCTCCACCAGGCCTTGGGGCCTGGTGAGGCGGCAGCTGGGGCTCACAATACAGCCATTGTCTTGGCAGGGCTGGTGAGTCCGCCCAGCCCACCCTGCGTGTGACCCCCACCCGGGGTGGAGGGAGGAAGGCCGGGTGTCCCCCACAGCCCCCCACCGCCCCGGTGGTCCCTTCTGCCGCCCCCGCGCTTCCTCCTTCGCGCTGCTGCCACTTCCTCTAACTCCCTCCGCTCTAATTAGTTCCTTTTGCAGCTGGAGGAGCCTGGTGCAGCGGGGCTGGGCTGGCGGGGAGACCACCGACCCGTGGTGGAGCCTCCCATGCTGAGCCCTGGCGTGGTACTGGCGTCACTCAGTAGACCAGGCTGCTGGGGAAACCTCCGAGAGACAGCCCTCGGTCTCCCATTGCACCCTCTCCTGTGGGCAGGGCACATCACTATTAACCAGTGGGGAAACTGAGGCACAGGAAGCTGGTCACTGATGCAGAGGGCTGTGATGAGAGTGGGCCAGGGTGCTCTGTCCCCACCCAGGTACTTTACAGGGGAGCACCTGCTCCTGCCACACTGGCATTAGGTCGGCGGCTGGCCTTGGGAGGTGCTCTAGGCCACCAGTTTCCAGCTGTCTCATCCCCTCTCTGGGCCTCAGTGGCCTTTGGGAATTCAGGAACCTGCCCCTTCACCCAGCCCAGAGCACGGTCCAGAACTGGCTGTTGCTGGCTGGAGATGGGGGTGGGAGGGGCAGTGAGCCTGGCCAGAACAGGAGTGGGGCCACAGGCCGCCATGGGGAGGAACAGTTATGGGGGTGAGGGGGTGATACAGGAAGGTGTGGCCTTGGGGTGGCTTCCTCCTCCTTTCCCAGAGACTTGGGGTCTGGCCTCATAGGAATGAACCCCTGCATCCCAGGGCAGAACCCAGTGGCAGGAAGTGGGGGTCTCTGGGGACTGGGCTGGTGGCCAGGTGGGGCATTGAGTCCCCCTCCTGCTTTGGGTGCTGTGCATGGTCCTGCCCTAGGGACAGACTTCCCCTGGGACCTCTCCATTCTAGGGGAGGCAGGGCCCCTCTGACATGGGGCAGTGGGCAGGTGCCCAAGGACGTTGCTTGGGCAGCACGGCTAGTGGGAGTTGATCTCGGTGTGAGCTCCCAAACCCTTCTGACTGTGGGGTCCCCTTTGCCGGAAGGTCTGGGTGGGGGAACAGAGGCTATGGGGAGACCTGTGGCTCTGGGCCAGCCCAGGGACCAAGCCACCAGCCCTTCCTGGCTCCTGAATTCTTAATCAGCATAAATATTTACTTCCTTCCTCCCCTTCCAGGCTCCCAGCACAGAGGAGCTTCAGGGAGGTTGGACTGGGCCTGTGTCTAAAAATAAACAGGTGGAAGGACAGGCAGACACATAGACAGACGTAAGGGGGGGGTGGGGGTCAGGCAGAGGGCATTCCCTGCCCAGCAGGGAGGCAGTACATCCATCAGTGTCATCCACTTGCCAGGGGCCGGGGCCACTCAGGACGGCAGCCTGACCCAGGGCAGGCGTGACCCAGGCAGATCTAAACAGACCTGACCCCAACAGGCACAAGCCACAGACTCAGTCCCATGGCGGAGTGCGGACCCCATGGCCCGGTGACAACCTCAGAGGGGGGCGGCCTCTCCATGCTCAGAGACTTTTAGCTGCATGTGTTGGGCTCTGGGGATGTGTCTCCAGGAGCAGAGGGTCTCAAGTGATGGACAGGACCATCCAGCCCCTGTGGGTTTGGAGTCTGTCCAGAAAGGGGGCAGTTCCAAAACTGGGAAGACTGGATAAAGCTGCTGCGGGGGCATGGCCTGGGGCATAGGTGAGTGGGATGTGGGGGCTGTCACCTCCCTGGTGGAGCTCACCCTGGCAGCTCGGTGTACACAAGCCCCCTAGGGGACCTGTGGCAAGTTGGCCGAAGTCTCCCACCAGGGGTGGCTAGGCCCACTCTGCCCTCTTCTGTGCCAGGTTGCAGCACACGCGAGAGTAGAGCCCACCGTGTGGCTGTCGAGCAGATGGTTTTCAAGGCGTCAAGATAGAATGAAGAAATGCAGACACCATGCCTGTGTCACTGCAGGGGGAAAGAAGAGGTGACCTTGGCCTTGGGTCTGTGGACACTGCTGGTAGTTCATTTACATGTGAAGAAAACGACGCCAATCAGAAATTCTAAGAAAATAATGAAAATTACAGTATGAGAACTTTTTTTTCTTTTTTTTGGAGAGGTTTTCGCTATAGGGCACGTGCACTCGCCAGACAGATAGAGACAGAAAGCGAGAAATCACCCCCCAGGGGGGATGGCCACGCCGCAATCCCTTCTCCATTCTCCTCTTGGGATCTTGGGCACGCACGCACACGCGCCTGGTGTGAGTTCTAAGCCACTGGGTCTGGGATGTGAACCGCGGTCATCTACATGGGAGTTCAGCGACATAGCCATTACGCTAACTGCTGGTTCCCCAGTATGAGAACTTTTGATAAAAGAATGCCATCCTCAGTAAAAAAAAAAGACTACCTCTTTCTCATTAACCACCACTCAGTGCTGGCCTGGCCAGGCCGCAGTGCCCAGGTG